GATTTGTAACACATTATTCGTTCAGAATTTATTACGCTGCTCAACCAAGCAATCAAAAGCAATCTCCCGAACAATGACGCCTGTTTTACACCAGCCATCAACACAAATCAACATATACGTTTGATTAACTGAAAAATGTTAGTTTACAAAGAAAGGAATAACTTAATGCCCAAGAACATGACTTTTGGATTGGATGATACCAGTCTACATGTGTTACTAAGACTGACATGAAACTCTCAGACAAACTCAGCCATTTCCAGTGTGGAATCGTTCTTTAGTCTATATGATATCAAAGAGTTGAAGAAAACAAGATGCAAAATATGGTTCTGAATTTTGACACTGGATATTCATACTACTGTACATCTAACCAGTCTTGCTTATAGCGATTAAACCCGTTAAAATACCAAGTTGTAAAGTTTAAAAGTTTCAAAGGAACTGATTTTATGGGATCCGTCATCATTAGCCAGAGAATCATGTTTTCTCCACGGGAGGGGGTAAATTTTACTATAGTACTATAGTATAGAAAAATCATATTTTTAGAAATTATTTGTTTTTTGTCAATTGGAAATAGTTCACACCTGGTTAGAATCATTAGTTTAAGATGACAGTTTTACGAGGTTCACATTTTGACCTCGGCTGACCCCTTGTGGCTGTTGGGCGGGGCCAAAAATAGTCAGATAGACTGAAATTTCAAAAATCTTCTAAAATCCCAGGCATGATAGAACCGAATACTTCTCATGGATGGGAGTGTCTTACGGAGCTATATAGAAATTGTAAATTTCATGGCCCCAGGGTTTGACATTTCCCCTTGTGGAGGAGTAAACTTTACTATATTTCATAGAGGAAAATTACGTTTTTTAAGCATAATTTGTTTATTTTCTTTTTAAAAAAGTTCAAACTTGGTTACATTTTTTGTTAGTATAGTATAAGCTGACAGTTTGATGAGATTCATATGTTGGCCTTGACTGACCCCCGGGGCTGATTAGTGGGGCCAAAAATGGGTCAAATTGACTGAAATTTCAAAAAATGTTCTACTGTTCCTGGACGGAAGATTTATATAGGAAAATTCAAATCTTGAGTGTAATTTCTTTTAATTCGAACTTGGTTAGAAGCCTTAGCATGAGACAACAGTATATGTATACACAAATTACATTTGCATTATATGTACAATATAGTTAAAGTTATATTACTTTTTTGAAGAAAATCGTTTTTATGACATGTTGCAAGAAACATTTTGACTCAGGTGACCGTTAAAACAATTGAACCTCTTGTTTAAAAATATTTTTCCAATGATGTATAAAGAAATAACAAAACATACTATAGAATCAGTATCTTTTATCAAACGAACTTAACACAAACTAATCTATGTATACCGAGACGAACAGATGTTTTAGTCAAACAGTGACCTTGACCTTAAAATGACTTATTTTCGTTACATATATGTATGTATGCTTCATCTGTGGAAAGATGAACCTATAGAATAAAATGGCGTGTAAAAGCTAGTCAAATGTCACCAGTCAGACAGACGTACTTCGTGAACTTAAACTGATCAAAATTCCGTTTTAAGTTTCAACGTACGTGCAAACGATCAGTTTTCCACGGGATCGTAGGTGTTCACACGCGTGTAGGAATGTGCACTGGCAATGTCGCGCTCCCTTTACCAGCTTACTGATTTTAAATGAACTCTTTTTGTATAACACCGGTATACGTGAGGTTACAAGCACGAACGACTCCAAAATATTGAAATATATATGAACTGGTTAAAATTATCTTCAGAAAAAAAAATCTTCATACCTTGAAAATGAAACCGTCCAAAGACACAGTTAACACTAATTACCGTAACACATATTAACGATGGACAGAACCCAAAAACACAGATACATGAAAATATTATTACTCGGGGGGAGGGGGGAACACATGAGCTTGCCTCGTTGGCTCTGAAGTATAGTCAGGCGGAACATTAAACGAAGCATGGTGTCCTGGTTGTCTGGGCTTGGACCTGTGCCCCATCATCTATAGGTTTTGTTTTTAACCGAAAAATATGAAAAGGCACAAAGCCACTAATAAGACATGTGGGAAACATTTGCCGACATATCACCGGTACATCTCGCTATCATTGACTCTGTTTAACTTTCTACCAAGTTCGAATCCTGATGTTGAACACCATACTGAATCAATTTGATTCCATACGTTATACGTTAACCGTCCTCACATCGTATGGTATCAATCATTTTCCCAGACTCAAAGTGTGGCTCCAGAATTAAAATTACTGAATAAAAAAATATTTCACAAGCTGAGAGACCTCCCTAACCTTCTTCTGACAAAAACATTTTACAAACTATATATTTATTAATTATCAAGTTTTATGAACACCGACTTTACTAACTAATAAACATGAACACGTACAGAGAAGCACTGATTTCGAAAGCCCCAAACTTCCTAGCCATAGCTATTTCGATGGAAACGTAAACAAAAACAAATTATTATACAACACATTCGTGACCGTAGTAACAACTTTTAAGCCTGCAAACAACGATCTAATGAACTTAAAAAAAAACAAATGTATTACATTCTTAAAGGTTATCAAAATTGTCATTTCCCGAGAATATACCTACATAAAGCGTGTGTGATCTCTAGCTCATTTAGTATTTAACACATAAAACATTTCTTAATGACGCATCCTATACGTATAGATAGAGAAAGGCTTTGTTGTTGACGAAATGCGCGTGTGTTTGATTACTTTAACACGTGCGGTGTGAGAGTTCCTGTTGCGATAGAAACAGAAGGTAGAGAGTGAATATCCAGGAGGTAATACACCGACTTCCACCATGTTTACACAAGTCTGTAATGTTAACAAACTAAAACACGGTAAGTTCTAGTTTAAAATACAATCATTGTCAAGGCTCTACGCTTGTATTTTAGCAAACTTTGCAAATATGTCTTCCGGTGTATTTATAAGATGTACATCGGGTAACTTACAAACGTATCGCAGATATGGTCAAAATACGACCGATGGTCAGAGACTTAATAGCCCTTTTATAACATTTAATTCTTTTTAAACACGATTCAGTAAGACCATATATGATACATGTGTAGAACCCGGAAACCCTAAAACACACGGGTGCCCTTGTCCTTCTTACAGGCCATAATTTTACTCCCAACAATGGCTGTAATGGTTTCCCTAAATGAACATGCACGATTTCAGCATGTGACTATATTCTAAGTAATATATATTCGGGCGAATCTTGTCATAAAAGAAAGTATAGTACCAAATACAAGTCACAGTATTTTTTCGTTAACTTCCTGATCCGGTGACAAGAAACGAACAGCTGATATCACGTGACGACCACATGATATTAACAAATACGATGAAACAGCCACCGGACTTGTCGTCTGCTCACCACGTTATCAGTTTCAATCAGACTTTTTAATGGCTCTTGCGGTTCAGGATGCCATGTAATTCCCGCTACCTTTTTCATCGGTCAGGTACTTTTTATTTGTTTATTTTGAAAGCCCTGACGTCTTAACTTGTTTATCTTGGTGAGTTTCAGTGAATTCTATTTGCGTTTTAAGCATATCTGAGAATGTGGTTCGTGTTTAGAGATTAACACGGTATCGCCATGGCATGGCGCTGATACGACTACTCAAATGTCGGAATATACCGGGACCTGTTGTTTATAGTCAGAGTATCAAGCCTTGCCTCGAAGAAGAAAATTCGGGAATACTTTTTTCTCCTTAGTTATTGTTTTAATGTATATCTAATTCTCTGTAACAATTTTTTTTCTGATGCGATTCCAACGATTACTCAACCAGTTATATAAACTTTCTGTTAAGTTCGGGGGTGTACATGGTGTATCGAGACATATTCACAGTACAAATTACAAAGACAAATCATTACACTGACAGTTGACTGGAAACCTTTATCTACAAAGTCTGTCCTACACTGTCCGTTCGGAAGGGGAAGCGATATCTATCGACAATGTCTGTCCTACACTGTCCGTTTGGAAGGGGAAGCGATATCTATCGACAATGTCTGTCCTTCACTGTCCGTTTGGAAGGGGAAGCGATATCTATCGACAATGTCTGTCCTACACTGTCCGTTTGGAAGGGGAAGCGATATCTATCGACAATGTCTGTCCTACACTGTCCGTTTGGAAGGGGAAGCGATATCTATCGACAATGTCTGTCCTACACTGTCCGTTTGGAAGGGGAAGTGATATGTACAAATTCCATTGTTGGACACATTTGTACGCTTACAACTTTATATACATTTTGTACATAAATTAGCAAAAACTTAATTTATCTTTTGTCTCACAATATCAATCTTTACACTCAAATTATTAATCTCCCGTTAAATTACTACATTTGCACTCTACACATTCACAAAAAACACATATATACACGAACATTTCACATCCATATACTTATATCACACATCAATATACAAACATGACGCATCCATACACTCACATGACATATCTATATACTCACGTGACACATTCACACAATCACATGACACATCCACAATCACATGGCATATGCACACTCACATGACATACCCATACGCTAACATAATACAGCCATATACTCACTTGACACATCCCCACACTCACATAACACATCCACACATCATATGACACATCCACACTTACATAACACATCCATACAGTCACGTGACATTTCAACACGTCCACATGATACATCCATACAATAACATTACCTCTCTATAACTTTATATTACACATCTATAACACCGTAGCATGACACATTTTGCTGGTGTCTAATATTTTGTTCCAGTACGTATGATATCGATAGACTTGGGTTATATATTGCTAACGTAAAACATGCAGTGTAATTTATACCAGTGTTGACGTAACGGTCGTGTTAGAGAGACGGGTTCTGTCTGATCCCTGGGGTCGTATTGCAGCTTACCCCAGGGTCATTTGATAGATATAGGACCCAGCTGGTTCTATGTAAAAACAGGTAAATGGTGTACTTACCGAGCCATGACTGCGGCTGCTGGAGATGCTACCGTACCCTCGATCGTATGATGACGGCTGAAAAATCAAGGTTAGAACGGTATAATCACGGTTATAACACACAGATAGTCGTCCTCGGCTCTCTCCTCTCACGAATAAATACAAACTACTGCAAACTCTGGCAGGACACTGGAAAGAAAACTGACGTTCCTCTGTAATTAATTAAATAAGACAATATACATGTACCCACGTACCTACACATAGCCGACAAGCGTTAGTCAGACCAAGAACATTCAGAGAGAAAGCTGGCAGGGGTTCTAATTGATCACGTGACCTAGATGTATAGGTAGAAAGGTGTGCTGATGTTTGGCACCGACACTGATGTGATCAACTCCCTCTCTCGTCACTTTCTCTCACTCTGAGATGGAGGGAGAAAAAGAGATGGGTTGGAGGGGTTTGCTTGTATCAATCCATCAATCTTCCTTGATACTGACGGGGTTTGAACATGTGGTTAGGCCCTATCTGTCGGCATCTACTTCTACAACTGTAGGTAGAATGACCTTTGGTTGTTCGGTAGTAACCTTTTGTCAGTTTGGTCACTTCCGGCCAATTATTGGATAAAATTGATGGTAGATTTATAGAAAATGGACATATTTGAAATATTGCCAAGTTTTCGAGGGAAAATCACTCATGTCTTTATCAATGTATGCTCCGTGACGTGCATGGCTTCATTTCGTAAGCAATGTACTGAAACAAGCTAACAAGCGTCTAGAAGTTAACTGGGCCTTTATTCGTAAATGATCTGTAGAATGTTCTGTATGAGGTAAACATGAGACAATACTGACTCGATCCGTAAATGATCTGTAGAATGTTCTGTAGGAGGTAAACATGAGACAATACTGACTTGATCCGTAAATGATCTGTAGAATGTTCTGTAGGAGGTAAACATGAGACAATACTGACTTGATCCGTAAATGATCTGTAGAATATTCTATAGGAGGTAAACATGAGACAATACTGACTTGATCCGTAAATGATCTGTAGAATGTTCTATAGGAGGTAAATATGAGACAATACTGACTTGATCTGTGAATGATCTGTAGAATATTCTATAGGAGTTTAACATGAGACAATACTGACTTGATCCGTAAATGATCTGTAGAATGTTCTATAGGAGGTAAACATGAGACAATACTGACTTGATCTGTGAATGATCTGTAGAATATTCTATAACATGAGACAATACATGACAATTGGGGTAAACATGAGAAATGATCTGTAGAATGTTCTATAGGAGGTAAACATGACTTGGGGTAAACATGAGACAGTACTGGCTTGAGGTAAACATGAGACGATACTGACTTGGTCCGTAAATGATCTGTAGAATGTTTTATAGGGGTAAACATGAGACGATACTGACTCCATCTGTAAATGATCTGGAAATGTTCTTTCGGGGGTAAACATGAGACAATAATAACTTGATCCGTAAATGATCTGTAGAATGTTCTTTAGGGGGTAACCATGAGACAATACTGACTTGATCCGTGAATTAGAAAATAGCTTTGTCTCCTTCGTGCACACATCTGTGCGGTTGACCGTTGGTCATTGTTGTCCGTGACAATGAATACCTATATGACATATGTTGACTGCGGGCATGAGAGGAGTCAAGGACAGGATGGATGACCAGGTTGCTAACGAACGATTAAGATGGTATTACCTTTCAAAATAGATATTGAGTACCACGGAACTTAAATCATTCGCTTACTGAATTTGTACATTTGTGTGTATTCAAGTGCTTGCAGCGAACTACGACTGTGCTAAATTTACTGTTTCTGTAGATTGTTTTCAATTGCTCAAAAGCTGATGTATGTTTATATAAAACAGAGCAAGCGACCGTATATGATCATGTAAATTGACACCTGTGTTCACTTGATACGAATTCGGGTTCAAAATGCAGGTCCTGTTAAAACGTGAGCGTGACTAGAGTCACTTACAGGTTTTATAAGTGATTATTCTGGGCAAGAATCTGACAAGAAACTCATTAATATTGCTTCGCATAATTTGATAGTCCCTTCTGGTTTTATTATGGACAGTTTGGAATCCACATCGAATATATACAGAATTATCCTTGAGGTAATCAGACGATTTAAAAAGTCCGGCGTAACATCAATTAACCAAAACGTTTTCTTGATCTATAGGAATGCCGACTTCAAAGACATACGATTTCACCCTAGACATTGTTAATTGAGACAAACGACCTCGGTGCCGACTGATGAAATAAAACATTATAACAAACTTGTTTACTTCTTGTTGTTAACTCAAACTGTTTTTGATACAATCGTGTTTATATTTATAGAAATGGCGTCGGAGTTGGCTAGAGAGAAATCTCTATGATATAAGTTTTCTATAGAGTTTCCGGAACGTTTGCATGTACTCGTTCTTTTACCATCTAAAATAGTGAATATTTAAGTATGAAATAGAAGAGAGAAAGGGACCATGCTGACCAATCAAATGACACAACATACAAAGCAATTCATGCGATACTTATATTACGAAGATCTATTTCACTGTTTATCTTCAGTTTATTCAATAAAAATAAACAATATCAAAAACCGGCAGTGAGAGAAAGTCCACTGATCGCTATAACTGGTAAATTCAACACGTCTACCATATTGGAAATATATAAACTTCTATAATACATAGTTTATGATAAAGTTTCTTACCAAAATGTTCACTTTGATAAACACATGTAGATTAACGACTCAACACTACACAGGACTTTGAAATTTTAAAACTCTTCTTCGTTTGGAACAGAATTAAACGTTACGTGCCATTGCTTTGAACAATGTTTGGGGAACTAAGTGAACACTCAGTCAGCATAAAAGCTCGTTTCACCGCTAGAAAAAACACCGTCATTTTCAGTTAAATCATGCATATAAACCGGCATTACTTCCGGTAGGAATCACTGTGATATCAGTTTCGTATGACTGTGAATTTGTTTTTTGTATCTTAAAGATTCATCAAGTGCAGTGATTAAATATCGGGCTGTGGTCCATAGAAAATAAAAGTAAAATAACATTTTCAGGGGTAATTTAGGAACTGTGCTTTAGATATTGGTATCTTAAGTTCGCAACACAATCGAATGCTATACAATACAACATATCATCCATCAATACATATATATATGCCACGGCCACACGGACGGCTGGGTTTCCCTAAGGTCTGGGTTGCCCCAAACGGCCACCGATCAAGATGAACATTTAGATATGTAAAGTACACATGCAGTCTAACCAAGCAAATACTATTAATGTTTATATCATCATTTAGACCAAATGAAACGAGATCAGGTCGTGTCCCCTACAGATGTTATACAATGTTTAAAGCATCAACGTACTTCCGGTTTCGCAAATGATCTATATACAATATGTATTGTGAGACTAACATCGAGTATCCACTGTGCAGGCGGGTAAAGACAAACGGCTACATCCAATTTTTGTAACCGATTCATCAAAGTGTTTTTTTCCTCTGAAATTAGCAACACATTACTTTCGCATGCTGAATTTCCATTACAAAGATGGCGGCCTGCCAGACCAATCTTGCATCCCATAATAGTGTAAGTGAAATGCACGCGCGCGATTTAATGAAAAACAATCATAATATCAAGTATCACCTTCCGACTGTGATGGAAAACTGGATTGATATATTTCTACAACGAAATTACCATGTACTCTTTCGGTCTAGAACGCATGCGCAGTAACCCACTTTGTTTTACATTTCAAGACAGACATGATACAATTACGTCTTAATCACTGCTAGAATTAATGTCAGACACAGTTACTCTGGTGTGGACTATATTGCAGTAGATTCCCGTTTATCTTCAAAAGTTAACAGTGGTAGAGTTGTCTCCCTTCGGTGTTTTATGCCCCCATAATAGCCCAGCTGGAATGTGTAGTACCATTATAAGTACACCGCCACATGTCGTCTAGTCATGTCATGAATATTACACCACATCGTGTAATTATATAGGCATGTCATTTCTAAACCTGTTGTTACTGACAACTAAAACTTGATCGTTAAGTAAATTATCATCGTTACCATCGCGTTACACTGACACCAACGGCGCATGCGTCTTTGATCTGTTATGTTTCAATTTCTTAATATTTTTCATCAAGAAAATATTTGCATTTTGCCTACTTAATACACAAATTAGACGCGACGCTTGTTTTTTTGATAGGTAAATAGATGATACATCTAATGAATAAGCACCTACTCTCCTAGTTCACTGTACCAGGAGTCAGTTTATAGGCCAGAGATAATCAGCCTGCTGAGTGTTAATAGTTGTTACAGTAATTTGGGGTTCACACACCTTAGAGTACACAACAACAAATGTAGTTCAGTGGATATCACGAAAGCATGGGATATTCCACTTCGGGAATTATAGTGATGTGTCCAGCTAATTAATTATAGTCACATCGCCAATTCATTATAGTCACATCGCCAATTCATAATAGTCAAATCGCCAAATCATTATAGTCACATCGCCAATTCATTATAGTGACAACGCCAATTCATTATAGTGACAACGCCAATTCATTATAGTCACATCGCCAATCGTTATATTGACATCAACAAATCACTGAAGTGACATCACCAATTCATTATTATATCTAAAAATATTGTCAAGATTTGTCGTACAAATATTCAATGATTATAAAGATATTACGCCGTTGTTATAGGAATGTCCTCCGGGCACCTGTCGGTAAGAATGTTTGAGATAGTGAGACGTTATAACTTATTATCATGATATTCAGATTATCTTATTACAATTTAAAAAGTCTATTTTTTCAATTATGTTATGCACGATTCATATTGAATATGATTGGTCCGTTATATTTAAAAGAAAACAGTAAACAGATGTTTACATACGGAGGCTGAAATGTGCCTTCATTCATCATACAATAGCTGTATTTGCACTTTACACAACACATCCAAACCTGTCGGACGAGTTGTTGTCAATATAGTGGTCTGATAAGACAGATTCCACCAATGATAAACAAAATTGTGTTATTATTGGTTAT